CTTAGTGGACCGATCTCAGACTCACCAGTTAACTAACATTTAACATGAGAGAATGTCTTGGAGAACCCGAAGTGTAACCTCCTGATGTAGGGAGAAGAGGAATGAGTAGCACCCTATGCAGCCCTTTTGTCTGCTTTGAGTATGAACTCTTTCCATATGTTCGGAGGCTCTATCACCTTTACCTATTATTTTCCCCTAAAGGTGTCTTTTGTACTGTTAAGTTTTTTAGTAAGTGCAATAATGTAAGTACAGGTTAGCTATGAACTCTCAAAAGTCTTCTATTTCAGTGTGAACCACAGGACTCTAACAAGTTCCCCAGAATGAGCACTTTTCAATCTTCTACCTTTCATCACACTACTCTTGAATTTGCTCCACCTTTCTCCAAGATGCTGCAACATCATATTTTCTCTACAATCTATATTCATTGGCTTCCAAATTGTGGGGGTTTTCTTATGTAAACAGGATATATTTTTCTTATCTGTGAAACAACTTAGGTGACGTAGGTTGGTGTGGAATGCTCATATTTTTCCCAATAAAATTAATGGAATTTTTTATTTAACAGCTTTTGACTAAGGAGCATGGTTCTTAGGAGTGAATTACAGTGATTAAATGAGGAATAGGTGAAACTGGGTGGAGGAAGGGAGGTTTCACTCACTATAATTAAATGATTATGCTGAGATGCCCCATGCATCTCATGGTATTTCTTAGATAAAAGAAATGTTTTTCACCTACAGTAGTGCTGGTGTGGCATAGATGCTGAGATACTGATTTAAGAAAAATGGTGGAAAGGTTTAAGAACTCTCTGCTTTGCTGATTGCGCTAGATGAAACTTAATTATGGTTGAGTAGAAGCGTGTGGACTGTGAGGCTGAGGGCCGAGATGCATTATGGTGTGCTCATGCCAATCCTATCATTTCATAAAACCCTGCTTCCTACTGAGCTGGAGAAAGCCCAGTGAAACTCTGGGGTGTGGCAATGTAGACAGGCTATTTCATTCATTTTACAATGATATAAGGTTTACGCTGACCGCACATTTGAGTTTATGGGAGAATTGTGCTAGCCTTTGAGCTGTATGAATGACTGCTGGGGATTAGGCATTTTTAAAAATGCTGTATTTCCTTTCCGTTTGGGCTGTAACCAATGGTAAGTGCATATGTGCACATGGGTAGTGTGTATGTGAGAGAGAGAGAGAAAGTGAGAGAGAAAGAGAGCTCTCTATGTTAGGAGAGCTCAACATACACATATAACTATGCATAAAAATCCAGGGTCAATTAGCCATCTTTTAAAATATTTTATTTATTATTTCTATTTTTTATGTGTATGAGCGTATTGCCTGAATGTATGTAAGTGTACCCATGTTGTGCAAGACCCATGAAAGTCAGAAGATGGCATTAGAGCCCCTGGAACTGAAGTTACAGATGGTTGTTTGCTGGCATGTGGATGCTAGGACTCAAATCCTGGTCCTCTGCAAGAGCAGCCAGTGTCCTTAACTGCTGAACCATCTCTCCAGTCCCAGAGAGCAATCTTGACTTTTTTTTAAATTTATTTTTAACTCCCAGACTGAGATTTTTATCTCTAGAAATTCAATTAGGTGTTTTATTTTTCCTGTAGGGCACAGGTGAAGGCACACTGCGACTATAGAAGAGTAATAGAAAATGTTCAAAATCTCTTGGTGCCTTCGAGTAGGAAAGGTCCAATGTCAGGGTTTGACTTTGCTTTTTAAAAAATAGCATTATATGTATGTATATATATATATATATCCTTCTACTATTTGGGTTCCAGGGATTGAGCTCAGATTTTCAGGCTTGGTAGCAAGTGAATTGTTCAGCTGAGCCTTCTCAGGAGCCCTAACAGCCTTGACTTTGTCAGAGGGAAACTGTTGGGAAAGCTCAAGTAAAATGATGCAGTCCAGAATTTGAGTATGAAAGATACAGCATTGTTGTATCAAAAACTCACAATCATTGAGTATACATGTAGCCCACAATCATTGACTATACATGTAGCCCACTAGGATTGCATGTAGTTGCTACTTTTAAAAAATATTCAGTATTTTCAGACCAGGCATGGTGGCACATACCTTTAATTCCAGCACTCAGGAGGCAGAGGCAGGCGGATCTCTGTGAGTTCAAGGCCAGCCTGGTCTACATAGTGAGTTCCAGGCCAGGTGGGGCCGCAGGGAGACCCTGTCTCAAAAAACAACAACAACAGAGAGAAAAACAAAACAAAAAACCAACAAAATAATCAGTATATTAATTCGGTAAAACAGGAACCAAACCCAAATCTCAATTCCTCCTCTTCTCTCTCCCTCTCTTCTCCTTCTTCTCCTCCTCCTCCTCCTCCTCCTCCTCCTCCCTCTCTCTCTCTCTCTCCTCTCTCCTCTCTCTGAACCATGTAGAAGGGGCTTGAGATTGGAAAGGGTAGGACTGGGATGCTCTCTTGAAGTTACCTTCTCATAGCACAGAATTTTTATTTTAGGTGGTATTACTAAAGTCTAACAATCACACCATTTTTTTAAAGATGCCTTTATTCACAATGACTTACAGAGAAATGAGACTACATCAACAAACAATATTAATGACTGTGATAATTTGTATTAGTTTAATCTTTGTTGACAGTGAGGGAAACTATCTTGGAAAGGTCCCTGAGAACCACCAAAGGAGAAAGAAGGGACAGTGAGAACCAAACATATCAAAAACTAAATGGCACTCAGCACATGAGTAGGAATCAAGGAGATTAGAAAGAGTCTTTCCTTTTGTACAGTTGACTGGTTATTTGATTCATTTTGTGATCTTGAGTCTATGCTAGTCACTTTGGAACAGACACCAAGATAGCTAGCCTGTTGTTCAACTTAAATAAACTCTGGAATCTTCCTTCTCCTGAGCCTTAAGATCACCTCTCCAGAATCTTGAGGGGAACTCACATTGATCTCAAACTCCATTTAGGAGTGAGAGGCACACACTGTTCATCCAATTGGACCATTTGACTGGCTCCCAGTGGATATGGTTAACAGGATACTTCTGGGTGTGGGGAATGGGAGTCAGGGCAGACTGTTACCACAAGGCTTGCTAAGTGGACTCCTTTCATAATCCTCCATTGTTTCTTAGGCTTCAGTGTGTTTAGAGGACAGTCTGCTTTGCTGACCTGGCAGAACTTGTGCTCAGAATTTTGGACACATTAGAAAGTGTCATGTTAAATGTTAGATTAGCCAGCTCTTTGGATTTGTAACCTAAAGAACACATGATAAAAGATCGTTCAAAAACACTCTCTTTTACTTTCTGTTTGAAAACAAAACCAAATTTACAGTAAAGTAAGTACTACAAGGTGAACTGCAATTTGTGCTTTGCTGTACTTATTATTTTGGCCATTTTATCATCTTTTCTTTTTTCTCTTTTTTATCATATATCATCATCATCATCACCACCACCTTCTTCTTGTTACCAAATCATTTATGTGACTTTTGCAGACACCATGACCTCTAGAACTCCAGCTTGGATCTTTTATGAGCAAGGATATTTCTCTGCCAAAAATATTACATTTTTTAGGTAGAATGAGATAGGGTCTGTTGAAACCTTTATAACCAAAGTGTAGACCATTTCAAAGTGCTGACTGTGATGTCCTGCACAGTCTCCTTCTCAAGGCAGGGAACACTGAGGAGACACCAAGGCAGGTCTGGAGGACTTTATAATTAATTGCCTTAAAACATATTTTCCCCATGTTCTCTTTAGACACATGAAATGAAGGCTATATTCCCAAGATCTGGCTTGTGGCTTTAAAATTAAAAAAAAAAATTACGGTATACATCGTGGAGGGATGAAAGCATGTGTTTTATTAACATTTCCCAAACTCTTTTTAGGTTTTCAGCTGCCAACATCTAGCCTGCACACTACAGCACTAGAAAATGTATGCCTTTAAAGAAATTATACCTTTTAGTTAACTGAAGGGGAAAACTTTCCATTCTTCTGTGAATCATCATCTCTCTGATGGGGAACTTTAAAAACCCTGTGTTGGATTAACACAGTGGGGTGACAAGGAGGTAATCCGATTCATTTCACTTAATGTGCAATGAGTTTTGCAAGAGGCTTTCTGGGGGGTTTGCTCACTGGTAATTTGGTTCTCATTCATGAGCTTGTACAGAAGACTCCCAGTGCAGACCAAAAAGCGATGCCTGAGAAATGATATAAACAACACTCTGGCCACTCTGGCCACGTGGGAATGCACCCACGCTGCGTCACCCTCCCCAGCTGTCTCTGCAATTACAGACTCTGGGGCACTACAAGGAGCAGCCCAGTTTTCCCCTCTAAGAACCCAAAGGACTTGCACAGAGCTGGAATTCCACAAAGCGACTTGCTCCAACCAGCCAATCTCCAGTATCCCCAATACCTTCCTCCATCTGCCCTTGTACCAGCACCCCTACTCTCAACTTGAAGACCACCCCCGCACCTGACAGTGTCTCAGTGCTAACCCCAGAGATGTGAGGAAGTGTCTTGGCGCGTTCCGGTCACCAGTGACTCCCAGCGGCCGCACAGGGCGCTGCGCCCCTCTCGCCCTGGCCTCCCCCGCCCTGCGTCCACCCCGCCGCCCCCGCGCCGCCTCCTGAGCCAGAGCTGGAGGCGGATTCCTCTGTCCGGGTTTTCAGAGCGCCTTTCCGAAACCTCCTCCCCGCCCAGAAAGGGAGCGAGATCCCAGGCGCAATCGCTCCCCGGAGCGGCCAAGGGGCGCGCGGGGAGAGGCCTGCGCCGGGGTACTTTCAAACTGAGGCGCGCGCACACACTCACACTCACCCAACCATAAAACATACAAAGAAATGAACAAACACACAAACAAACAAAACCAAACCAAACCCATCAAACAAACACAACAAAAACAACAAGAAAAAAACCCTAGAAAGAAATCTGAGAAATAATAGCTGAGTTTGACCCCTGGTATCCACCCACACCCACTCACCCATATGAGCATGATGCACATACACAACATACAGGCACACGCACACACACACACACACACACACACACAGACACAGACACACACACACACACACGCCCATTTATATAGGCGGCGGCGGCGGCGGCGGCAGTGGCCAGGGCGGCGGCGGCGAGCGCAGAAACGATGGAGCTGAGCCAGCTGACCCCGGTTGGAAGCAAGTGAGGAGAAGCCAGGCGCATCCCGGGGTTTCTGTGTCCAGCGCTTGTCATCCTTCCTAGAGAACCGTGCACCAGGAGGAGGAAGACTGGTCAGACTATCTGCCAGGGAGAGGGCGGAGAAGAGGAGGAGGCCAGGTGAGCCGAGGAGCCCCTTGCATATCTGGACCGCCCGGATCGCGCCTGGCCGGACTCCTGCCCTCTCCTTGCTCAGGTGGGCGCGCCCGGTCCGCAGCTCACCAGGGACGCTCAGGGGAACTGAAAGTCGCCGCCCGGTTGCGCGGGATGCCTTTCGCCAAGCGGATCGTGGAGCCGCAGTGGCTGTGTCGGCAGAGGCGCCGGGCGCCCGGCCCAGATGAGGACGCGAGTGGAGACAGCATAGAGCCGCCGCCGCCCCTGCAGCCGCCTGGCCGGAGGGAGGAGGCCGAGGCCCCGGGGCCGGAGGAGCCTCCTCATGTGCCCGTGGCTCCTGAGCCTCTCCCACTGCCGCCACCTCAGCCGCCGTTGCCCGCGCCAGCAGAGCAGGCTCAGCAGCCACTCGGAGAGGCGTCAGCGGCCGGCGAGGAGAGCGTGGCGGGGGTCCCGGAGGCGGCGTCCGCAGCCGGCGATGCATCCTCGGCTGCGGCCGCGGCTGTGCTGCTCATGCTGGACCTGTGTGCCGTCAGCAACGCTGCTCTGGCACGGGTCCTCCGTCAGCTCTCAGACGTGGCCCGGCACGCGTGCAGCCTCTTCCAGGAGCTTGAGAACGATATCCAGCTTACTCACCGCCGAGTCTGGGCGCTGCAAGGCAAGCTCGGCGGCGTGCAGCGCGTCCTCGGCACGTTGGACCCCAAGCAGGAGGCAGTGCGTGAGTAGCAGCGCCGCCCGCCCGCCCTCCAGGGGACTAGGTTCCTGCGCCGCACCCCCTCGCACGGTCCCCTATAGCCGCAATCCCAGCCCCGCGGCGCGGTGCCTGCTGCAACTTGCACCTTACACTTGCCTTGCCTTCCCTCCCTTGTCCTGAGATCCATCCCAGTCTACCCGAGTTCAGTAGTCCGGCTGGCCCCCATGGATGCAAGGATGCAGATATGGAGGGCAGAAAGTTAAAAGGGCGGCCCCTGAACTCATAGAGGTCCATGGCATGCAAACAGAAAGGGAGCGTTTATGGGGCAGACGACAGGAAATAGAAAGGGTCTGTCATTCGCCTCTAGGGCATGCCTTTTTCGTCCTTGGGAAGAGGAAGGGGTGCAACTCCTGTAGCTTCCAGCAGCTCACAAACCCCCGGCTCTATAACCCACCTGGTTGCATGCTAGGGGACTTCAGAGTAGTGGGTTATCCTTTTAAGGCGTTTGCGGGCGCCAAGGTGGCTTGTCACACTGTGACCTCAGGCGCCCGAACTTGTACCTTTTGATGGACTAGTATGGAACCTAGTCCAGCGTCGCTGGCCCTCCCAGAGTGAACGAACTCCAAGGTCCTCTACTGAAAGCCCTGCTAGGGGGGGGGGCATCGGGAGAGGCGGGAAGGAGGCAGTGCCTGAACCCTAGGGACATGAAGGGAACCCCTGGGCATCGTTTCTGCCACCAGGCAACTTGGGTTCTTACGGAATGGCTCTTTGGGCTATCTGCCCTCTGAGCATCCGCTCTGCCCCAGAGCCTTGTTGCCCAAATCTAGACTTAGGTGTGAGCCAGTCCTGCCGGGCCGGCGAGAGGGAAAGGAAGGAGGTTTGGGAGGCCCCTAGGCATCTTCAGTTGACTTTACTCTTGCAACACCCAGAAATCCTGATAAGTAATCTCTGTTAACTGCTCTCTAAGGGGTTTACAGTTCGGTCCCCTATCGCGCGGTCTTCCAAATCTGACAGCGGCAGAATCCTTTAGAGAATGACCCAGGCGGTGGACAAGAGTTCTGGGCTGGCACGCGAGTCCTTTGACTTCTAGTTCAGCTGACATGCTCTTGGGTAAGGTGATGTCAGGGGTTCTGAGTTACGTAAGAAGCTTCCTCTGTTGCTGCAGCAGCTGCTCGGGTGCTAGGTCACAGAGCGCACCAGGCAGAGGCGCTTCAGAGGCACCCTTCCCTGGGGATTTCCGCACACCTCTGTCGCACTGCCCAGCCCAGCCTCCTGGCGGTCCCTACTGGCCAGAGCATTCCTTTCCCTCCTCTCCTTCTCCCTTGAAGAACCCTTTGAACCCCGCCCCAGGAATTCACTGCTTTTCTCCAATAACAATAATAATAAGCGTAATGAATAAATGATGTGCCCGATCTGTTTTCGCAGCTATAAAAGACCTGGGGTTGGGTTAATGACTAGTTGTTTAAAAGGGCAATTCCGGGGATGAGTTCTGGAAAGAATTAGGACTGCCCTAGGCCAAGTCATATTTCACTTTTGGGACTGGAAATGAACGCTTTAATCCTGCCTCCTTTTTACCCCAAACCACCCATCAGGGGCAGGCCCTTTACTTTCAACAGGCGCTGATATTTGGGGAGTTCGGTAGAGGGGGTGGTGGTGACTTCACTTCAAAAGAACTAGAGGGAAGTTCTGCAGACAGTGGAATGGTGCATAAGTTTTCCGTGTGCGTCTGTGACACAGACACACTTCTTAAACAAAATTTACACAAGTGAAACTCTGCCAAAGTACAGTGTATTCGACCCTCTAGCCTTTCTGTTAGTGGCACCAGTGGGCTGGTGTGGATCTCGAATTTGTTAGTCTCTTCAAGTCTTTTCACTCACTATCCGGGCATAAAGGAATGGAAACCAGGGATAAGGGAATCCTTAGTGTATAGATGCAGTTGGTGAATATATACTTTATTCATGTACATAAACGGATAAAGATGAGGGTAGTGTAATATCCAGGGAGGGACTTAAAATCAATCATTTAAGTTTAATTTATTTTTTAGTTTAAATTATTGTGTATACATGTGTGGAGGCCAGAGAACAACTTTGTGGGGTGAGCTTTCTTCTTCCATTACTGGGGAATGGAACTTAGATCGCCAGACTTGCCAGGCAAGCACCTTTACCCTCTGAGCCATCTTGCTGGTCCTCATTCTTAAAATGTTCTAAAATGCTGTCTCCATAGTTGCTATTCTTTTATCTTTTGTTCTCTTCTCATCCATTTAAATGTAGGAGAGCATGTTCTTGTTTGATGTCATAAATGTCATTACTGTTGGGAGTAAAGGCACAATATTTTGTGCTTTAGTTTTAGTTTCCCAGAATTCAGAGCCTGAGACAAAGCTTTCTATCCAAGTAGTTTGAGGGGGGAATCCCAGAAAGCACGTGGACAGAGTGGAGAAACTGAAACACAGAAGGGATAAAAGCTGATTACTTGCTGTGAGGAGGTTATCACTAAAGACAACTGGGGTTCAGTCTATCTGGGGCTCATTGGCTCACACACCTCAGATGTGTTTCACTAAGGTATGAGGAAGCTGGAATATCTGCATGGATTCACCCTTGCTGGGGGGTAGAAAGTGACACATGATCCATGAACTCTGAGTTCTTTGGTCTACCCCATGTATTATCCCAGCATGCTCCTGGGATCAGATAGATACAAAGGACCTGTGGTGTATACGATCATGTCTGCAGGAGCTCTCTTGGGAGGGTACAAGGGCTGTTAGTGGAACACCAGTGATACCAGCTGCCATATGTATTTCTCTTTAAAATTGCTCAGGCCTGGAGGCATAAAGGAAAGGAAGACTGAAAGTGTGCCATCCCTCCTCCCCTCATTTTTCTGGGTCCATCCTTACCCCCTTATTGTCCACCCAGCTATGTCACTATGTTTCACACACTCCTCTTGCTGCTCTATCTTCAGGGAGCTGCTTCCTGTGGCCTGACTCATGATGGGGGACTTTTTGGTGGGGTGGCATGATCTGATGTACACTTCAGCGAAGTCATTCTTGAGGCAAGTCTGGACTGGTAGACCAGTTAGATAGTGCCACTGGTACTGGGTAACTAGGGAGGGATCTGTAGAGACAGTAAAACAGTTGTTAGATTGCAAATTCATTTTGGAAATACAACTGATAGGACTTACTGAGTAGATTTGGTACAAGATCTGAGAAAAAAATAATTGAGGATGAATGATTCCTAGTTTCTTTTGCTTAAATAATTCATAGAAGATGATGTAATTTACAGAAATAGAGAATGGTACTGGGAGAGTGGGTTTTTTTTTTTTTTTTGAAGGGAATGGAATCGGTAGTTTACTATTTGATTTTTTTTTTTATTGAGACAGGGTCTTCCTGTAGTCCCAAATGGCTTGGAAATTGCTATGTACACCAGGCTGGCTTAGATCTAACAGAGATCATCCAGCCCCTACTTCCCAAGCGCTGGGATTAAAGGCATGTGTCACCACAAATGAGTAGTTTACTATTTAAGCCATGCTAAGTTTGGTGTCTAATGAGTCTTAGGCAATTAGATGTGTGAGGTAAGAGAAGGGCCCAGACTGAAGACTTGGAGCTAGGGACAGTGGAGATAGTAAAGAAAAGAAGACTCAGACTTGGCAGTAAGGTATCAATATGTTAGGCATGTTTAGATTCCATGGAAAGGAGGAAATTGATGTTAGAGCCCACGGGAGTCCAACTTTGAAAGTTCCATAGGAGAAGAGAAAGACCGAAAAAGAACAATTAGAAATCTAGGAGAGTTGAATGTGGCAGTTCACATCAGTATATCTCAAATCTTAGGAAGCAGAGACAAGGGATCTTGAGTTTCAGGCCGTCCTGGATAACACAGAGAGATCCTGCCTCAAAAAAATGGTGCCAGACACTACAACAATGAAAACAAAGAAACAAAACACAAGTGCAGGTATAGCTCAGTAGTGGAGCACATGCTTAGCATGTGCAAGGTTCTGGGTTTCTGCTACCAGGAGAGAATTCTAGAAGGAAAATCAGGTCAGTGTGGTATGATGGAAGCAAGAAGGTACTTAACTGTGGGGGAGGGGCTGGAGGGGTAGCTCAGTGGCAAAGAACGTGCTTAGTATGTGTGTAGGGCCTAGATTTAATGCCCAGTTCTGAAAAAAGGAAGGGAATGGCAAAGAAGTCCTCTTTGTTCAATATTTCTGAGAATAAGGCAAAGGGTAGAGGCCACTAAGTTTGGTAACCTGTAAATAATTAGTGGCAATGAGAGATGCCATTTCAGTAGAGGGGTAGAGATGAAGACCAAATAAGAGGGGATGGAAAGAACATAATGGGTATAAGAGGAGTTGCAAGGAGTTTTGCTCTGAAGGGAAGCAGAAAACAGGAAGAGAGAGGCTAGATAGAAATACAGTATCGAGGGAAATTTTCTTCAAGGGTATCAATATGTTAGGCATATTTGGATTCTGTCTAGAGGAGGAAATTGGTGCTGGGGAAGAACACCGGAAAATTAGAGAAGTCTTTGAGAAGCTGAGATGGGGTGAGATGCAAACACCATTTCATCCTTGAGACACAGAGGGAAGATGACAGATATAGGCAGAATGGGAGGTTGGCTGGTGGACTGACAGAGGTGAAGGTGGGACAGAGTGTTTCCCCCTTGCCATGTAAAAAAATGACATATATTTTTTCTGTGAAGTATGTCATGAGATCATCAGCTGAGAGGGTGTTGGCAATGTGAGGAGAGAAGGGAAGGTGTTAATAAGCTGTCTCAGGGGCAATGTGGATGCAGTAAGAAGTGTAGTGGGATTATCTGGCTGTGTAGAGAGCCTTCTGAGATTTATGGTCATAAACTTGAAGCAAGTCCAGCTTTTCAGTCACTAACACCCAAGGCTTTGGAATTACTTCATGGAGCTCAATGCCAAGCTGTTCAGCCTTAGACATTTAGTGTTGTTCACCTTTTAGATACTGTTGATTACATTTGCTAAGTTTTATTTATTTTAAAAATATTTTATTTATTATTTTTATTTTACATGTATGA